GATCGGGCCGCATGCTGGAACTGGATCGGGCCGCATGCTGGAACTGGATCGGGCCGCATGCTGGAACTGGATCGGGCCGCATGCTGGAACTGGATCGGGCCGCATGCTGCTGCTGCAGAGCAGTTTCCCTGGAGCTACATCAGCCAGAACTCACCTTGTACTTCCCGCTGGTCGACACGCTGGACTTCCACTTGACGGAGTAGTACCGGACCTCCGACGACTTCTGGTTCTTGGTCATGGAGTTGTCGGCCCAGGAGACGCGGACCGAGTCGGAGGACAGCGCTACGGCCTGGACTCCTACTGGGGGGATCATGGGAGTGCTGGTGTCTGGCATGGGAGTTGGGAATTTATCAAAGAGGTGGAAAAGGTCGTCCTCTAACGGGTCAATGGGGTCTGATTTACACCGCAAGCATGGGGTAAATTAACGCACAGGCATGATGGTGTACAGGCAGAACGGAGGTGAAAGGTCGAGGAAGACGACAGAAGACAAGAGAGGAGGAGATGAAGAAGAGTTGATGAAGAGTTGATGAAGAGGGGAGGAAAAAACCGGAGAGAAAACAGAGACAAAGAGTAAGAAGTAAGAGCCAAAACCAGCCAATCTACAGCAGGAAGAGGAGCCGCTGACCCGCAGGAGGTGGAGACTGACCCAACATAACTGCCAATTATTAAACCCGTCTTTGCAGGTTGGTGGTTGTGGACGGTTTCCTGGGGGTCAGTGGCTCCGGCCGTTCAGACAACATGCTGCCATCAGCTGCTTCCCTCCAACCAGCAGCCAGACGCTAAAACGCTTCATCAGCTCATTTCCTTCAGCTGTAGAGGCTCCTGGAGGCTTTTTAAATTCATTTATTTAACCTTTATTTTACCAGAGAAGTTAAGAAATTGTGATTTTCAGAACAACAACAGTTCTCATCATTCACAAGAACAACAGAGCAAATGATGCTAAACCATGATGGATCTCTGCTTATTCATTTATTCCCTCCTAAAGTCACAACTTTAAAACTTACAAATTAAAATAAATCTTATCTTTGCAACTAAAACCTTCATTCAGCAACAGTTTGAAACTTATTGTAACTAAATCAACTCCCTGAAAACCTGAGACGTCTGGAAACAGTTGGATCCTTTAAACATGATTCTTTGTTTCTAAATGTATAAACTGTGAATGTTTTTAACCTGCAGCATAAATAAACCAGAACAGTTTTATTAGCAGAAGAAATCTGAGAGCAAGTTGCTCAAATATGAGAAAAGTGTCAGAATATGAAGAAATACTTTTGGTAAACCTTCAGAAAGCCTGAAGAAGAAAAGCATGAGAACATGAACACAATCAGTCCAATCTGGGATCAACCTGGAGAAGGAAACACCTGAAGGCAGCGAGGAGGAGGAAGAGGCTGCAGAGCAAATGGAAGCAGAAAACAAGCTGCTCTGTGACCTTTGAACTACTGACAACAAAACCTGCTGCAAGCGCAAACATCTGCATGACGTT